CTTACGATGAATGATTATGACCTATTACTTGCTGTTCATATGTACAATGAATTCTGCACTGGAGACAAATTCATTGTGTGTCCAATCACACTTGGCCAATAAAGATTATTTTATTCTGTTTTTTCTCCAAGTAATTCTGCAACAGGCAATTACACGGATGCTTTTGAAGCCACAAAGGGCAATTTTTATAAAAGGCTTCCAGTTTACTACAGAGGTAAAATGGATCCGGGTAAGAATGGGCCACCAAAGACTTGGGTGCAGATCCCGCTCTCCAAAGGTTGCCCTAGAACTGTAGCCAAAGAAAGTCTCTATTATTATTATTAAAAGGCAGAGTCTTTCACGAGTGGCTGTTTTAATAAAATTGGTTAGATCAGCGGTTCTCCACCTGTGGGTCGGGACCCCATTTGGGGTCGAACGACCATTTCACGGGGGTCGCCAAACAACGCAGTCCGCCATTTTTCCCCCCTTTTCCTTAGCTGTGCTACTCCCTTTTATTCTCTTGGCTTTTGAAAGCCAATAGAATAGACTCTCTTGAATAGAGTCTAATTCTATTGGCTTTCAAAAGCCAATAGGAATTGTCCAGGCTGTCTCTGCCCTGCTGAGCCCGCCAAAAGTCCCATTCTGCAAACGGTGCTGCACCAGTTGAGTAGTCCTCGACTTACGATGGTTGAGTAGTCCTCGACTTACGACCGGTCGGGGGTCGCAGCATTAAAAAGGTTGAGAACCACTGGTATAGTGGGTACCTTGCTCAATAGTAGTAACTGTGAGAGGTACCTTGGAGTCCTAGTGGACAATCACTTAAATACAATCACCAAAAAAGCCAACACAATGCTGGGCTGCATTAACAGAGGGATAGAATCAAGATCACGTGAAGTGTTAATACCACTTTACAAGGCCTTGGTAAGGCCACACTTGGAATACTGCATCCAGTTTTGGTCACCGCAATGTAAAAAAAATGCTGAGACTCTAGAAAGAGTACAGAGAAGAACAACAAAGATGATCAGGGGACTGGAGGCTAAAGCATATGAGGAATGGTTGCTGGAATTGGGTATATCTAGTTTAATGAAGAGAAGGACGAGGGGGGACATGATAGCAGTGTTCCAATATCTCAGGGGCTGCCAACAAAGAAGAGGGGAGGGTTATATCCTCCAAAGCGCCTGAAGGCAGGACAAGAAGCAACGGATGGAAATGAATCAAGGAGAGAAGCAACCTAGAACTAAGGAGAAATTTCCTGACAGTGAGAACAATTAATCAGTGGAACAACCTGCCTCCAGAAGCGGTGAATGCTCCAACACCACAAGTTTTTAAGAAGAGACTGGACAGCCATTTATCCGAAATGATGTAGGGTTTCCTGCCTGAGCATGGGGTGGACTAGAAGACCCTCAAGGTCTCTTCCAACTTTGTTATAATTCTATTCTATTCCAAATCAGACTCTTCCTGATTTTTAGCTATCATAGGCCTTTGGCTTCCAGGTAACACATGCACACATAGTCCTCGCTTAACAACCGATTGTTTTAGAAACCTTCAAAGTTACAACACGGACGCACACAGTTATTTATTATCCATCCTCATCACACACATACATACACATCTGCAGTAACATGCTCGCACTTCAGGCGACTGACTCACATTTACAACTGGCTGCCGTATTTTGCAGTCACATCACCGCGATTCCGCAAGATGTTTTGCTGTTTTTGGTCCCTGCATATGCTGGATTCGCTTAACAACCACAGTGACTCTCTTTGCAGCTGCGGTAAAATTGCTCGTAAAATCAGATCCAGTCATACTTGCTTAACAGCCAGATCTCTCAGTAATCAAAAGGGGATCATGTGACCCCAGGACACTGCGACCGTCATAAATATGAATCAGTTGCCAAGCGTCCAAATTTTGATCAAATGACCACAGGGACGCTGCAGTGGTCGTTAACTGTAAAAAAAAAAAAACGGTCCTAAGTCACATTTTTCAGTGCCGTTGTAACTTTCAACGGTCACTAAGTGAACTTTGCTTATCGGAGGGTCGCAAAAGGTGATCACATAACCTTGGGACACAGCAAGGGACATAAATAGGAGCCACTGAATTTGGATCATGTGATCATAGGGGTGCTCAAAAGCAGCGGTCCCCAACCTGTGTGGGCCGTGGCCCATGAGGAGTTTGCAACCGGGCTGCAGAAACGGCCAGCGAGCACACGCGCACACATGTGCATCCTCACTTGTGCAAGCAGTGTGCGAGTACGCAGGTTCGCTCCATTTAAGTGAGCAGGAGTTGTCCCTGCATGCCGCTTGCACAAATGGAGCTGCGCGCTTGCCTGTCACTCGTGTGGAAACATCCCCTCTTTCCCCTCCCGTACCGGTCCACAAAGCCGGAAATATAAACACTGAAAATAAATAAATAAATAAATGCTCAGGAACTCTACTGTGAAGGTTGTAACTACGAAAAATAGTCGTAAGTCACATTTTTCAGTGGCACTGTGACTTTGAACGGTCACTAAACGAACTGTTGTAAGTCAAGGACTACCTGTATTCCAACAGTCAGGGCAGCTTACCCCCAAATAAAACAAAATAAAATTCAAATCAAAACCTAAAGGAAGTCATCAAAACAATGAACAATTAAAATTTACCGCTAAAAGAATGAAGACCAGAAGAGACAGAGACAGAGAAAGACAGAGAGAGAAAGAGAAAGAGAAAGAGAAAGAGAGAGAGAGAGAGAGAGAGAGAGAGAGAGAGAGAGAGAGAGAGAGAGAGAGAAAGAAAGAAAGAAAGAAAGAAAGAAAGAAAGAAAGAAAGAAAGAAAGAAAAGAAAACAATTCTCTGCTCTGGGGGCCATCCAAGAGAAGGCCCTGATCTGCAGGACTTCTGGCACAGGTGGCCTCTTCCTAAAGGCCACGGAACCGGCAGATCCCACAGTGGGCAAGGTGAAACTTTAAAAGTCAGCACCATCACAACATGTTCACACAACACCCTTAGCTTGCTTACTTCTTTCACCAAGTTATGCAATCTGCACAATTCATTGAATAATCTTGAGAGTACAGGCAATCCTTGACTTACAACAATCCATTTAGCCACCGTCCAAAAGTTATAACAGCATTGAAAATAGGGACTTATGACCGTTTTTCACGGTTGCAGCATCCCCCCCCCCATAGTCACCTGTTCAAGATTCAGATGCTTGGCAACTAGTTCATATTTATGACGGTCGCATTATCACGTGATCCGCTTCTGCGACCTTCCGCCAAGCCGAGTCAACGGGGAAGCCAGATTCACTTAACAACCAGGTTACTAACTTAACAAGTGCAGCAACTCCCTTAACAACGGAAGGTTGTAAACTGGGGAAGGTTGTAAAATGGAAGGCAAAATTCACTTAGCAAATGTCTCACTTAGCAGCATAAATTTTGGAGTCAATTGTGGTCGTAAATAGAGGACTACCTGTATTCAATCACAACAGTGACACTATCTCGGCTTAGCCTGTAGAAGCCCTGCAGCCACTCGCTCTTGACCCAACTTGATGAAGTAGATCAGTGGTTCTCCACCTGTGGGTCGGGACCCCATTTGGGGTCGAGGGACCATTTCACGGGGGTCGCCAAACAACGCAGTCCGCCATTTTTCCCCACTTTTCCTTAGCTGTGCTCCTCCCTTTTATTCTATTGGCTTTTGAAAGCCAATAGAATGGACTCTCTTGAATAGAGTCTAATTCTATTGGCTTTCAAAAGCCAATAGGAATTGTTCAGGCTGTCTCTGCCCTGCTGAGCCCGCCAAAAGTCCCATTCTGCAAACGGTGCTGCACCAGTTGAGTAGTCCTCGACTTACGACCGGTTGAGTAGTCCTCGACTTACGACCGGTTGGGGGTCGCAGCATTAAAAAGATTGAGAACCACTGAAGTAGATTGCGTGAACGCAGCCTTTCCCGGGGTCAAAACTAAGATTCCTCCTGCTCAATCCTTCAGACGCAGCCCCCCCCCCAACCTGCGCTCTCTGCGTCAGTCAACCCAGGCAATCCTGTTAGCTGAGCACCATGGGCACTGTAGTTTAAACTTCACACAGAAAACAAACCAGACACCACAACTTCAACCATAGTTTCTGCCTATGAAAAAAAACCCAATTAATCCCAACTGCTGCAACCTCATTTCCATTCTCAGCCTCCACAGGCATTGCTATAAGCTCACGGTTTGGGATAAAACCTTTACAAGCAAGCAAGCAAACAAACAAACAAAAAAAAAATACAGTACAAATACTGCAATAAAACCAGATCCAGGAAGTTCTCGCAGAAATAAAGCACCGTGTTTGCTCTAATCCTCCATTGCCAGCTGTTCGTCCACAACTACAGATAGTCCCCAATTTACGACCACCAAAATTTCTGTTGCAAAGCGAGACATTTGTTAAGTCAGTTTTGCCCCATTTTAGGATCTTTCTGGCCACCGTTGTTAAGCGAATCACCGCAGTTAAGTTAGCCGCACCGTTATTAAGTGAATCCGGTTTCTCCACTGACCTTGTTTGTCAGAAGGCCACATAAGGTCCATGACATGACCCCCACCCCCCACCCCAGGGCACTGCAACCGTCATAAATACGAGTCAGGCTGAATTTTGATGATATGACCGTGGGGAGGCTGCAACGGTCGTTAACTCTGAAAAACGGGCGTTTGGTCCCATTTTTCAGTGCTCTTGGAACTTTGAACGGTCACGAAGCAAACGGTTGTAAGTCGAGGACTGCCTGTACTCCTGAAGCCAAGGGGGAAAGCACTCTGTGCATGTTCAGGGGGCCGTGCATGAAGACTAACAACTAGTATACCCTCCCCCTTTTTTATTATTTTGCATCTTAGGGCACAAGTCCGGCTCTGCTAGCCGAGGGAAACTCTGTCCATGCTCAGGAATTGTGAGCACAGCACAGAACGCCTCGCCTGCAAGGGGAAGAGATGCCGGCCGGGGCTTGCAGCCTTCTCGACCCTCCGGCTTCCCTCCGCGGAGCAGCGAAGTCCCCGGGGGAAGCCCAGCCCAGCCCAGCCCGCCTTACCTTGACGCGCCCCGCTTGCAGCTCCTGCGGGTCCCCCGGCCGCTTGCCTTCCCGAGGAGGCGCCTCCACAGCGGAGCGGAGCCCCGGGAACCTCCCCGCCTCGGCTCGCTCCGGCCGCGGCTGCCTCCTTCCTCCTCCCGCCTCCGCTCCCTTCCTCTCCTGCGCCGCCGCCGCCGCCGCCCCGCTGGAGGCGAAATAAATGAGCCGGCGCGCGGTTAACCCTTCGGGCTTGGCCGGGAAGTTGCACGCGGGGCAGGGCGGCGCGTTCCCACGAGACGCGCAAGCCGTGCCTTGCGGAATCGTGGTTTGCTGGCCAGTTGAGTGGCTTTAGCATCACACAAATACACACACAGCACACGCACACGCAGAGCTGGCGGGACAGTCCAAAATATGGGTGGTCCTTGACTTACGACAGTTCATTTAGTGACCGTTGGAAGTCTCAACGGGCCTGGGAAAAAAAGGATCTGGTGACCATTTTTCACACTTAAGGACCGTTGCAGCTTTCCCCCCCCCCCCCGGTCACGTGATCAGACCCTTGGTCACCGACTCGTAGTTATGACCGTTGCAGTGGCCCAGGATCCTGTGATCCCCTTTTGCAAACTTCTGACCAGCAAAGTCAATGGGGAAGCCGGATTGGCTGAACGACCAGCTTGCTAACTTATCAGCCCGCAGTGATTCACTTAACGGCTGTGGGGAGAACGGTCGTAAAACGGGGCAAAACTCACTTAACACATGTCTCCCTTAGCAGCGTAAATGTTGGGATCAATCGTAGTCGTGGACTACCTATAGGCTCGTTTTTAGTTCAGAGTCTAAAAACGCTTTAATTCGTTGGGTGGGAACTAATCAGGAAGCCTTCAGATGTTTTGGCCATACTGTGGTGTGAACAGACTGTATATCTGAATAGGGTGTCATGTGAACACAGATGCTGTGTTTCTACTGGAGTTCAGGGTTAGTGGAGTCTTCTGAACGCGGAACACAGAGCTATATTTTAGCCCAGCTCAGGGGTAGGCAACCTTGGCTCTTTTATGACTCGTGGACTTCAACTCCCAGAATTCCTGAGCCAGCATGAAGGAACTATGGCTCCCTCATGACTCGTGGACTTCAACTCCCAGAATTCCTGAGCCAGCATGAAGGAACTATGGCTCCCTCATGACTCGTGGACTTCAACTCCCAGAATTCCTGAGCCAGCATGAAGGAACTATGGCCCCCTCATGACTCGTGGACTTCAACTCCCAGAATTCCTGAGCCAGCATGAAGGAAATATGGCCCCCTCATGACTCGTGGACTTCAACTCCCAGAATTCCTGAGCCAGCATGAAGGAACTATGGCCCCCTCATGACTCGTGGACTTCAACTCCCAGAATTCCTGAGCCAGCATGAAGGAACTATGACCCCCTCATGACTCGTGGACTTCAACTCCCAGAATTCCTGAGCCAGCCACGCTGAGGGGAAAGGGAGAGGTTTCTGAGCTGAGCCATGCTGGCTCAGGAATTCTGGGAGTTGAAGTCCACCAGTCATAAAAAAGCCAAGGTTGCCTACCCATGGTCTAGGAGGCTCACCGCTTAGAACAGGAGGACTTAGGACAGGGGTAGGCCACCATTGACATATGAAGAACCGTCGCAGGACTTGGGTTTCTACTCTATTCTACTTAGTGTATGGCAACATCACAATTACATTATTGGCCAGCAAATATGAAACAGTTTACTCCAGAGTAAATAGCCTGCCACTCACATAGTCGGGGTCTTTTACCATTAGCGATCAAGCAGCTGGTCATCTCATTACAGATAAAGCCACAACTTATCACCACAATGGAGCTCAAAATGTCCACTGCTAAACGAAACGGTGCTCAAGTGAGTTTTGCCCCAATTTTATGACCTCTCCTGCCACCGTTGTTAACTAAATCGTTGTTCTGAAGTTAGTAACACGGCCGTTAAGCAAAGTCAGTTTAGAGCAGTGTTTCTCAACCTTGACCATTTTAAGGCATGTGGACTTCAATTCCCAGAATTCCACAGCCAGCACTGCTGGCTGTGGAATTCTGGGAGTTGAAGTCCACATGCCTTAAAATGGTCAAGGTTGAGAAACACTGGTCTAGAGAGAAGAAGGATTAGGGGGGACATGACAGCAGCCTTCCAATATTTGAGGGGCTGCCACAAAGAAGAGGGGGGGGGTCAATTTATTTTCCAAAGCACCCGAAAGAAAGACAAGAAGCAACGGATGGAAATGAATCAAGGAGAGAAGCAACCTGGAATTAAGGAGAAACTTCCTAACAGTGAGGACAATTAACCAGTGGAACCACCTGCCTCCAGAAGTTGTAGGTGCCCCATCACTGGAGGCTTTTAAGAAGAGACTAAACAGCCACTTGTCTGAAATGGTATAAAGAATCCTGGTTGAGCAGGGGGCTGGACTAGAAGACTTCCCAGATCCCTTCCAGCTGTATTCTGATTCACTTATTCTCCCATATCCTATATTCCAGAAATGGATAAAAATGGGATTGCAGCCCTGGTGACTTTGGCCTTGAATAGTCAGAAACACCAGCAGGCCAGGGGAAGCAACTAGGGCCCCTTTACGACCTGTGGACTTCAATTCCCAGAATTCCCGAGCCAGCGTGTGCTAGACTGACGTTTGTCTGCAAGAGGTTAATTCAGAGCACAAATCTGGGAGTGATAAGACAGATGAGGTTGGGGACACGCCCAGATAAGGACTGTAACCATTGTTCTATGCACACGGAAACATGCCACATTTCATGCCAACTCACACGCATGTGTGTGGAGACAGGGTGGAGACTGGGTGGACGTGGGCTAAGGAGGTTACATGCAAACAATCTTTCTACCATTTCCCAAATGCAAAGATCCTGGATTTCGCTTCACAGAACACAATAAGCCACTGCTAGCTTAAGCCAGATTTGTCTGTTATGTTTTTCTTCTTTTATGGTTTTATTTTTGTTGTTACAGGTAGTCCTCAATTTATAACCATTTGTTTAGCAGCCATTCAAATTTATAATGGCGCTGAAAACAGTCTTTGCGATTGAGATCATTGTAGCATCCCTGTGGTCACACAATCAAAATTTGGGTGCTTGGCAACTGCACGTGTATTTATGAAACAGCTAGTCTTGACTTACAACCAGTCCCAAATTTCTGTTCTTAAGTGAGACATTTGTTAAGTGGGTTTTGCCCCATTTTACGACTTTCCTCGCCACAGTGGTTAACTGAATCACTGCAGGTAATAAGTCAGTAACCCGTTTGTTAAGTTGCTTTTGCAAGAGGCAACTGGATTTTTTTTTGTTTTTCTTTGAAGACGTTTCGCTTCTCATCCAAGAAGCTTCTTCAGCTCTGACTGGATGGTGGGGAAGGGAAAGATTTATATTCCTGAGGACACAAAGAAACATGCAAGTGGCCTCAACGACTCTCTAAAACAGGGCTTTTCAGCCAGTGGTACGGGTACCACCTGGGGTACATTGGCCCCTGGCAGGTGGTACACGACCATCCTAGAAAAGTGATAGCAGGGTAGGGGAATGAGCTGAACCGGAGGCAGCACTGCACAAGCCTGAGCGAGAGACAGCTGGAGCTGCAGGGCTGTCGGGGCTCAACAAAAGCACCAGGATCAGTGCCAGGCTCCAGCTGGAGCTCAGCACTGATCCTGATGCTTCTGCTGAGCCCAGAAGAAGCGCCGATCAGCTGGAATGTTGCAGCCGCTCCAGGGTCTTGTGATTTACATTCAGATGCTTGGCAACCGATTCCTATTTATGACGGTCACAGTGTCCCAGGGTCATATGAAGTGACCAAAACCTGCTGCAACCACCCAGCAGACGGGGGGAATAAAACCCAAACACCCCCCCCATCCCACCCCTGCTGCCAATCCTCAACAGAAATGCTCACAACAATGAAAACCTCGGACAGGAGGAAGAGCGCGGCCAGGTAGGTAGGCAGGTGTCTTGCTCGGCTGTGGCTTGGGGGGCACTTTTTTCAGTGCCATTGTAACTTCAAACAGTCACTAATCGAACTGTTGTAAGTCGAGGACTCCCTGTACTTTATCACTTTTTTCCTTTTTTTTTTTTCGGTCATCAAGTTTTGGACCCCTTGCTAGGCGACCGGTGGTACTCGGATACTGCCATATCCTAAAGTGGTACAATGGGTGAAAAGGTTGAAAAGCCCTGCTCTAAAAGAAGGCAAATGACCAGCTGTCTGCAAGGAGTGTAAATCCTTCCCTTCCCCACCATCCGGTCAGAGCGGAAGAAGCTTCTTAGAGGAGAAGCGAAACGTCTTCGAAGAAAAACAAAGGAAGTCCAGTTGCCTTCTGAAAAAAAGCATCTTTGGGACAACCAGGAGCTGGAAGACGGAGGATCTCCATAGACACAACCCCAGGGGTTCTCCTTACCTTTCCAGGAGAAAGCAACCCCTCTCCGGAGCGATCCCACCAAGGTGCCGGGAGGCTGGCCACATCTTCCTGGAAGACGGGGTTCCTCATTTCAAAGACCGAGAACATGGGGGGGGAGGAGAATTGGGGGGATGCCCCTCCAAAGAGTGCAGAGTCCCTTCCTGGAGGGCAGAGAAGCTGGCTGGGTGCTGGGCCGGCCTTCTGGCAGGTTGTGGGATAAACAGCTGCCCAGCTGTGAAGACCAGGCCAGGCTGAGGGGGTGAGGAATCCTGGAAAAATATGTGCCCAGGGAACAAAAGCCGCCGTGTGTGTCCATTCGACGTCCTACGAGGCATTTTTTTTTTCTGTTGGCACCGCAGAATTCCCGGTCTTGCGTGGGCAGCAACTTTGAACCTCAGGCTGCTTTCGCTGCCACCTGCCTAACTGAGAAAGCTGAACAACTTGCTGGGAAGAGAGGCCTGCAGGTCTAGTGGGTAGATGGAAAAAGGAGAGGCAGAAAATGCAGGGCCATTTTATAGAATAGAATAGAATAGAATAGAATAGAATAGAATAGAATAGAATAGAATATGGAATGGAATGGAATAGAATAGAATAGAATAGAATAGAATAGAATAGAATAGAATAGAATAGAATAGAATAGAATAGAAAATAGAATAGAATAGAATAGAATAGAATAGAATAGAATAGAATAGAATAGAATAGAATAGAATAGAAATATGGAATGGAACAGAATAGAACAGAATAGAATATGGAATG